CTTCGGTAAAATAACAAAATCAACTGCAGGAGTTTGCATCCTGCAGAAATTATGCATGCCTGATGGGTGTTTTGTGCTTCCCCTCAGTGCTTAGATCGTTGGGCTGATCCGTCTTGTGTTGTGAAGCGGTGCCAGTGCGGGGAGGTCTCTGAAGGCATTTTGCATTAGTGAAGTGCAGCGTACTAATGCCTTCTCCTCAGCCAACCCTGCCTTCTGCATTTTTGTTTTAAAATGCAAACCACATGTAATGTTGCATGCATGGGTTACTTTCCACTGCCCAGAGCTCCAGGTTTGTACTTGGTTTGTTCTTGAACTTTTAGTAATAGTGAAAATAAAGGGAGGGTCTGTTTGTATTGTTTATAGTAGGAAAGAACAGTGCAAGATTTCATCTACTGCTGTTCAAATCCCTTGCTATTTTTGGTATTTGACCTCTACAGAGAAGATTGCCAAACCTACAGGTTGTTTTAATTTTTATAATGTGTTTCTACCCTCCTACTCATGAGTTACTCTTACGTTACTGATTAAATCTTTGAGAAAGTTCCATTTCTCCCACATTTTCCATGGTATTTTTCAGAGAGGTAATTCTATGTTTCTGTATGTTGTTGAGCCAACATTGCCTTTTGGAAATGAGAGCTATGCAATTTGGCAGCATCTTGTGTACACCACTGAAAGGTGAAGGAAAATACCTTATGAATTGCTAGTTTATTTTTTGAAAAACTGTCTGGATTGAAGAGGACTCATGAGCCTGTTGGCTGGAGTTGAGACTGCAGCGTTTAGAGTACGGCACAAAGAGCACAGCAGTACACACCGAGACAATATTACGTTTAGTTTGTGTGGATAGGTGCCTGCCTTTCGTTTCTGTGCCGCTGGAAAGGCCTGCTTTCAGCACCCCTGGCTGTTTGCTTCTAGTCTGGCTGGGTGGTTGTTTCCACACTCCGCTACTGAGAAATACGTAACAAAGGCATTTGAAAATCCCGTCCTGCCTCCTTGGCATCCCTTCCACTTCATGCCTTCTACTCTAAAAATCGAGCTTATTTCTTTTTTTAAAGGAGCCTTGTAGGATGCCCTGGAGGTCAGAATGTTTTAGGTTTTTTCAAAGTACTGTACTCTGAGTTCCCAAGATGTAATGAGTTTTGAGTGTCCTTCAGGAAGCTTACTGTTTCTGGTAGTTGTGATATCAGGGAGATGTGCAGGGATTGCATATAACTGCAAAGTGAATTCATAGAAAAGTTCACATGAATGTCGTTCCAGAGGACTCGATACAGTCACACCGAAGATTCGGGGTTAATGTGTAAAAGGTGGCTTTACCTTGTTCAGGGAGTGCAGGTGAGAGATGCGGGTGTCACATACGAGGAACGGTGGTCACAGAGGATGGGGTTGGACTTGGCTTCAAACATGAGTGACTGGGCTGTAGCCAGGCACCTCCAGCCACATGCTTGTGTGTCACCCAAGTGGTGGGGTTTCCCTGGCACCCTGACACCACCTGGACTTTGTGTTGAGACTGGAGAGCCGCTCCATGGGCCGCTGTGAGCTAAGATAAGTGAAGAACCTGAATTTAATTAACTACCTCACGTTCTGAGCAAAGGAGGTACCTTGGGGAAAGATGAGGTTTTGGTCAGTGCTATCTGCAATTTCTTCTGAGACTGGAACAGCTCAAGAGCAAACGGCCTGTGCCCTGCAGAGTCTTCGTGTCACGGTTTGTCTCATTAGCATGAGCAGTTTTTCTCATTGATCACCGCAAGTGGCTGTTGGGCTATGTCCAAAGTATGCCAGGTTTCAAAAATATTGACTTTGCCAAAGGATTCTTTATGGCAGAAACAAAACAGGTACCTGTGTTGTTGAAGTTAAGGAATGTTCAGCTAAAAGTGCTTCACTTCTGCAGTGCAGAGCACCGTGTGCTTTGTAGGTGGCTGCAGTCCAGTGCTTAGTTATCTCCTATTGTGTTTGGAAGACCATTGTTTCCTATTTGTCTCACAAATTTAACACAGATCCTATTCCTGCCATTTAAACTTTCCCATCAAAATACAACAGTGACTTCCCCTTCTGAAGAGGAAGGACTGGCAGCTACACCCTGAAGTTTGAGCACGAATTGTTTATATAACCTTCAATCACAATTTCATAATAGTCTGAAGACTTTCTTACTAGGGCAGACATTTTACTGAGGTTTTAGCAAAAACCTGGCTGCCATCAAGTGCAATTTTAAGGCTTCTTGGTTGTTGCAGTGGAAATAGAATTGAAAACTGTACCCTCCGGTTTCCTGATGATATAAATTGCACATCTATCTGGAAACATGAACAGCATTTTCTGGTATTTCAGAATAGCAGTACCTATGTCATTTGGGAGTAAAAGCTTAAGGGCTATCTTGGGCTAATTTTATTTCCCAGAAAATATTATTAAATCTGAATGAGCATGCTTTTGCAGACTCTGGCTTTTTACAACTTCTGGGTACTTGTAGAGTTCCCTCGTCCTTCCCTCCCCAGCAGTAAAATCTCTGCCATGAATGTTGTATAAACTGCTCATTGAATAATATTCTCTATCAAAGTCAGTAATATTTAAACAACTGCAGCTTGCTTTCCAAATGGATGACATTTGTCAGGAACATGTCTGTTTGAGTTTACTTGGCCTTTTGAGTATAAAAAGTCTGAATATTTAGAGCTTGAAATTCAGGTCAGTCTGGAAAACTACATCTTACAAAAAGCTTACAGAGAGAACCCAATTTTTTCAGTAACCATAGCACTACTGGGTAGCTGGTTTATGCAAACTCCGTTCTCCACCTTCAAGCATCTGTTTTTGAAACAGTATTTAAATAGAAGCTTCCATCGTAATTCTTCAGTAAATTGGATTAAGTAGAAGTTGTCCTTATTAATAATATGAAAATATTTTATTTCTTAAATTTAAATTATTTATTTGCGTGGGAGTTTAATCGTTTTGTGTTTGAGCAGTGTAGCAAGCACTGTTTGAGAACAGTTTGCTTTATGTAATAGTTCTAGTAAAAGCTGGTTCCATTTGAGGACATACCCAGAAAAGTAAGGAGCAATCTGTGGGTAGGGTTGTACACAGGCTAACGCCAGAAAACATGTTGAACTTCTCTTCAGAGGGGAAAGGAGTTTCCACAGGATGTCTGCGTTTTATGGCAAAAATTACTTGAAGATGTGCTCTGAAAGGTTGCTTTGATGTAGAAGATTAACCTGGGGACCTCATTGTCAGGATATTACTGAGGCAAATATCTTAGTGAGATTATTTGTGACTTGGGAATTAAGCTTTTATGAGTGTGCCTACTTAAGCTGTTTTTTAAGAATTTGCTTGTTTGTCACATGGTGTCATGAATATTTGTACGTACCAAAGAGGAGGAGGGCAAGCAAAATCCTGAAGCTACAAACAGCACCAAGAAGGCAAAAAAAGCAAATGCAGTTTTGTCATAGCAACTTTTTCTTTGCTGCTGGTCTCTCATGGACCACTAAAGTAACTACCCTAAAACAAGTAATACATGGAAACTTGCTCATTCCACCTCCAAAAATCCAGCCTGAAGAATTTGCAGAAAAATTTATGATGGGACAGCCAGGAAGGCATGAGAATATTTTCTTGCATTCTGGCTCTGCTTGATTTTTACTCCATTTCTGTTTGAATTTTTTCAGAAAGGATCTTTTCATGCATGTGGTAACTAAGGTCGGGTGCTGGCATAGTCCTTAAGGAAATAAGGAGATTTTTGAGCATTGCTTTACGCTTATTTGTATTACCTAAAATATCTGTACCAGTGAGAAGTCACCGGAGTGTTGAGACCCTGGAACCTGCTGTGATTCCCTCAATGTTCATTTTTTTTTTTTTTTTTAAGTGGAAGAGAAGTCTAACTGAACCTGTAATTGTAACAGAAGTCGTTCATGTGGATGGTTATGCTTACTTAACGTACCCCACCCACATCTTTCTTCTGAAAATGACTGTAGTTTGTGAACTCACTAAAAACATGTATTGTTCATGATGGTAAATACCTCATTTAAATTTAAATGTTTCACTACTTTTTCTGACTGTAAGCTGATGAAGGCCTTTACTGCAAGTACAGAATTGAATTTTCCTTTGTGTTATAGAAAGGAGTTTGTTTTTTTTTTTTTTTAAGGTCACACCCTTTCTTTAAAAGACAATCTATGAGATTGAGAGAATATTTTAATTTTTTTTTTTCCTTGGTAAAATTTGAATTTGCGTACATCACTGAAATAGTATGGGTTTCTAGGAGGGCTCAGCAGTGTCAGAGAAGAATTGCCTGTGAAGGCAAGATTTTTATCAGTTGCACTAACAGCCAGCGTTACGTGGTTTTACAGGAGGCTCAAAAACCATTTAGATTCTGAAGAGAATTGATAAGAAAGCTCAGTTCCAGTGAATTCCACTGATGTCAGGTAGGCTGTTGAGGCGGTCCATGGTACGCTGACAGGTGTTTATGTGTGTCATTGCGCACCTAAATACTTGTAAAATTGATTTCATCTGGCCATTTCCAGCTGTAGTTTCACATAATTTTGGTCTTGTTCTCTGCCTCCCCTTTGCGCCTCCCCCAGCAGCAGAGTTCACTGAAGCAGTCTCCTGCGGTTGTACTGATGCGGGCTGTGCCTCCTAGCAACTTTTTAGAACAAAAATTATTCCTCCTTAAGTAGTGGTGATGACTTCTATTTTCTTTCCACTTATGGAGAACATCGCTTTGCTATTTACTTTATAAAAATAATAAAGCAAATTTAGCTAAGTGACTTTCACAGGGTTCACAGACAGACTGTTTAATCTTTTAAGGGGATGATACGACGTAGTGCTTAGAGTCACAAGAGACTGAACTCCTTAACTCGGGGAGCCCTTTCCAGTTCTCTGTTTCTGTAAAAGTTGCAGTGGGTAGGACTTCAGGACAATGGAATTTTTACTTCACGCGTTATCTCCGGGCAAGATGCTTTTTCACGTATCTTTTGAAAGTTAATATTATGTAGAACGTCATAATTGAAACTTGCCTTGGATTTTATTTATTACAGGTTTCTGGCAGCGTTAGGAGCGACACCTGAGATGACTGCAGTGATTGAGGAGCAGCTTGCTAGCCTGCGCATAGCGAAGCGCGCTGCGCCGAGTGCGGAACCCGCTTACTTACTGGATATAGACGTTTCCAAACCTGCTCAGTCTGCAAGCAGTCGCTTTGTGGCAGTTTCGTGTTCCAATAAGTCAATCAGGGTATATAACAGGGAAACATTAAACTTCCTGCGGGAGTACAGTGGCCGTCCTGGGGTACTTCATGGAGTCAGGTTTGCACACGCGTGTGACAGCACCGTGTTCTCAGCGTGCAGTGACGGTACGGTAAAATGTTGGGATATTCGTTCAGCAGCTCAGAAAGCTGTGCAGGTATTTAGTGGCTATCCTTCCAACGCTTTCATCAGTTTTGATATCAACTGCAGTGATCTCATAATTTGTGCTGGAACAGAAAAAGTTGAAAAGGACACATTTCTGGTGTTTTGGGATGCCAGAGGCATTACAAACTGTGCCAGTGCTACTCAGGAACCCTTGGGAGTCTATTCTGAAAGTCACAATGACGATATCACTAAAATTTGTTTTCATCCTGTCGAACCCAATTTGGTAGTTTCTGGGTCAACTGATGGGTTGGTTAACGTGTTCAACATTAACAAGGATAATGAAGATGATGCTTTGATATCAACTTGCAATTCAGATTCCTCAGTAAGTTTTATTGGCTGGTCTGGGAAAGATTATAAACAGGTCTACTGCGTGACACACGACGAGGGGTTTTGTTGGTGGGACACTGCCCAGTTAGATACAGAAGAGCCAATAACACTACTGCACGTTTTAGATGTCAGAGACGCCGTCTGCCCTGAAAACGACAGCTTGCATTACCTGGTAGGTGGCTTCTACCACGAAAAGGCAGACAAACTCTTTCTTATTGGGGGAACATCCACAGGAAACATCCACCTGGTCGGCTGCGGCAGGGCGGGCCTGGGCCTGGCGGGCACCCTCTGCGGAGGACACGCCGCCCCTGTGCGCTCCTTCTGCTGGAGCCTGGCGGATGAGTCTCTGCTGACGGGTGGAGAGGATGCTCAGCTGTTGCTATGGAAACCCGGAGCTGTGGAAAGGTCCCTCGCAAAGAAAGCTTCTATGAAAATTGCTTCTTCCGTGCAGAAGAGAGTAAGAGTTCACAACAGCTCCCTCAAAAGCAGGAAGAAGTAAAATCCTGAAAGTGGGAGTCTCTGCTGTGTCGAGTTTTCCTGGTGCTTAATCTCTTGGGCAGTGCTTGGCTGTGCTCTGTTTGGAGGTAATCTGTGGAGAGAACTGAGATGCGTGAGTTCTACCTGGGAATGCATTTCAGTCACCGGAGGAGTGCACCTCTTTGGTTTGTGCTTTTTTTGGTGTTGGTTGGGGTTTTTTGTTTGTTTTTTGTTTTGTTTTGTTTTTAAGTTGCTAATATTAATCAGAAAAGAATAAATGTTTGCTCTCAAGTTCTTGAACAATAGATCTTAAATCAAATTGTATAAAAATGTTTTGGTGGCAGTTTAATGCCTCAGCCAACATTTTTAATGTGTAATATAGGCCCATGGCTTGCATAATTTGTTACCTTCCCACTGAAATTTCCTGGGATGTTTTAAGAGCTTTTGTATTTCATGCTGTATCTTGCTTTCTTTACAGAGAACTTAATGAAATTGCTCAATATATTAAAAGATTTTATGTCACATCTTAATGCCTGAGGGAATGACTTCTTGATGAAACAGAAAATAAGTCCTGTTTTGCACTGTCATACCGCTGGTTTATAACAAGCTCATAAAGAAGCAGTTGATAGAGCCGTATTTTTCATAGCAAAGATATGAATGTATTCAAACAGGAACACACGATTCCAAGCAGCTAATTTTTAAGTGTTAGAGAACTGTTAAATTGGCATTATTTACGGCACATTTCCTGCATGAAAATACCCAAGAACCTTGCAAGCAGCTTCATTCTCTCCTGGTAAGTGCCTCTCGGGGGGGTGCATCTGGAAGACTGGGGAGATCTTCAGTGGGTTAAAGAAGTTGATAGGTGTAATTACACCAGTGGCGCTTAAAATTCCAAATCCTGCATTTGAAATAAGGTAGTACCACATGCTAAGTGGGAATGTTTAAACCAAAAATGAACGCTGCCTTCTGAGGCTGTAGTTCTGGAGTAACAGACCGATGTGAGGAAACTTTAACAAAACCTTTTAGAGGTTAATGTGTATCCTTCAAGAAATGTCTCTCTGTGCAGGTTTTATGCTTAGACATCTCCCTCGGACAGCTTCGGTTTAGTATTCCATCAAAGCCCTGTTAAGTAGTGCCAAAATTGGGCTGTACTGGGGAAGCAGCTGAGTCTTTACGCTTATTCTGCTCCACTGGCAGGCCACCATCCCCGCATCTGCTCTGCACACACAGGCACCTTCAGCCTTCCGAGGAGCGCTGCAGTGGAACGGCGGCTGGTAATTCCGCCGTAGGTACCGCCTGTGGCTGCGACTGGGAACAGCACAGGAGTGTTTAAGAATCGCTGTATGTTATAGAACAGTTGGCAAAGGAATTAAGAGGGGTTGGGTTTATTTTTTTGCCCGAGGGTGGATAGCTAATTCAAAACAAGTTTTGAATGTCATGTTTAGAGGATTAGCCTGGAGTTGAGAACGGGTTTCCGAGGTACAGAAGGTACCTCTGGTATATGGTTACGGCCGTGCTGGAGGTGTCTTAATGATCTCTGGAAACAAATCCTATTTAACCAGAAGTATCGAGTTTCCCCATGATATGTTTTACAAATTGTTAATGTCCTTCAGCCGCAACTCTGTGTCCGCACTTCGTTTGGGTCTGCCTGCCGGTGGTAATTAAGATGAATCACTTGGGTGTGAAACTGCTGGTTATTTAAAAGCGCAGCTTCAATTTAAAAATCACATTTCTCTAAACTTTTTGTATTGCTCGGATTCAAGTTACAGCCAACATCCGTATCTGTTGCTTTTCAAATTGCTTTGTGCTGTTCCGAGACAACTTGGGCGGCGAGTGTCAGGGCCACCTACATCACGTGCCCTTTCAAGGTTTGTTCTCTCAGGTCACCAGTTATTGCCCGTTTCTGTGGAAGTCACAGTTTTGTCACTGTGGACCAAAAGCTTCAGACCCCTCTGAATTCTTGGTAAGGCCCTTGTGAACCGTGACTCGGCTCGGTGCCAGTAGTGGAGGGGGGGAACTAAAGGATGATTCTGAGACCCGTTTCGTTGCAAGTACGATCTATAACTTGCATGTTAGGTGTTCATCCACTCTGTTCCTGGTACCTGGAGACACTCAGCAGAATAAGGTCACTGGGTCTGTCTAACGCTTGATTTCTTGAAGATGATTTTGTGTGCTACCTACAGAAAAGCAGAGTGAGGGAGCATTTGGTTGCTGCTGCTTGTTTTCAAGTGTCTGTTGGGCGAGATTCTGCTGGATCCTGGCAACTGACTGAACTAAAGCAGCAGAGAGGGGAAGTTCTGGTACTGAGGTGTTTGAACTCTGCAACCTGTATCTGTTCCCTCGCTTCTGAAGTAGATTGATATGTAACAAATCGATGTCCATCACGGTTAAAGCCATGCTGCTTTTCCCCGGGAGGCTGATTTCTCCCTTTTACATACATGGCTCAAATAGCAGTGGAAGGGGGAGAACGTATGTGTGTATCTTAAAATTCTGCAAAATTCAGCACAGCAGCTGTCAGGAGGCTCAGTGTTGTGTTGCCTCTGAAAATGCTTGATTATTTTATTTTTTTTCTTTTATGTTGACTTAATTTCAGGTTAATATCCATAAAATAGACATAGATGGAAACTACATGTTAATGAGTAATTAGCCTGGCTTGCTTTTGTAAACTGCAAACACTATTTCATAGACCACAGAGCACAGGCAGAATACGTATATATGCATATAAATAATAACAGACGTTAAATTAGGCAGGTTAATGTGTCTGGCTGTATTTAATCTCTTAGGTTAGGTTTGATGTCTGTAAATTGGCTCCAGCATTGTTAAGAAACATATTTGACCTTTATAAAACTTAGGTAATTGAAACTATGTGCAAGTAGCAGGCGTCCAGAAATCATCACCCTGTGAATTGTTTAACCCCAGGGGAAGCTTTCATTCCGGAAGCAGTATCAGATTTTTTCCAGTAAATGAAAAGCAAAAATCCAGATAGACTACCTAAGTGCAGCAGAAAACAGTGTCCATCTTTATTTAGAGATGATAGTAAACCCGTTGTACAGGATTTCTGAGCAGCAGGAGATTATCCTGCTGCGAACACATGAAAATAAACTTACTTGCATTTGGTACGTTCCTAAATTTCCTCTTTGTTTCTTTTTCTTCTCACTGTAAGTAAAATCCAGCACTTGCACACTCGCCACTGCTGTGTTTAAGCTGTGCTCCCACTGAATATGAGCTTGTTGCCTTTTCTTGTACTGTTTTACTATTTCATTTTTGTTCAAGTAAAAGACCTACCAGTATGACATCCCATAGTCGGTGGGTAATTTCAGCAATTATCTTGCTAGAGTGTAGGATCTTACCCCCACTTTGGGACGGTGGTGGAAATTATTTAACAAATCTAAAGGTGTGAATTAATTTCTAGGAGGAATTTATTTAGCCAGTTGTCAGTCATAAGCTATTTTATGGCCAGATTGTGTATGGGGTGTGACCTGTGTATTCAAATGGACATACCTGCATGCCTACATTAAAATATTAATTAGGAAAGATGCTGATAGAGTAAACCAGTTTGAAGACCTGAAGTGCAAGCTTTTATACTACATTTTTGACTGACGGCTTTCTCTTGGCTAGCGATCTTATGTAGCTCTGTAGGTCATGCTGTTATATGAAGCCATGTGTTTTGTCGTGGGAAGTGCTGACTCAGAAATCGGCTTTTAAAGGCGTTAGGAGCCGGGCACCTCCACGCTGACGTGGCTGCATCTTGTGCCTCATGGGAAAGTGCCTTGCCTGTTGGGATGGGCCCCAGCCCAAGTGTAACGGAGGCTTAATAAGGACGCAGTTAATTGCAGTGTCAGTTGTTCAGCAAAGCTTTTGGACTCCTGAAAGAACTGACACTTGGCCCACCTCACAAAGCTCATCTGCATTTGCCGTTGTTCATTTGGAATTACTTCTCTCGATCCCTTCGAAATGGCTGTTATTCGGCTGCTTGGTCTTTTTTTGGGGGTAGGAGGGAGTTATGTCTTGCTGTCTGCTTTTCTGGAGAGGCTGAGTCCTGCCCTTTCCCCCTTGCGCTCTCCTGTCCTGTGTGTGGGCTGCTGGACTCTGCGCCTCTCATTACACCCAGGTGGGGGCTGGGAAGCAGAGAGGGAGGAAGAAGGGAGGTTGGCCCCAGCCAACCCTCTGACGGGGTCTCTGTCCAGGGAAGCTCCTCGGCTGAGGAGTCGGACCCTCTACCCTTGAAATACGTGCAATGGCTTGTTCTTGAGCTTGATGGAAGCAGGATAGGACCTTAAATAAATTAGGCAAGACATAAAGACCGTTCAGGCATAAAAGCCGGTTCCTGTTTGTCTGCGAGCTGAGATGTTTGGCAGCGCAGCGCGCGAGAGAGGCACAAGGTGTTTGCTCGCAGGGGCTGGCTGCTCTTAATTCCTGCTCGCGGGGAGGAAAGCCACGGCTCAGACCAGCACCGCTACCTCTACCCTGCAGGGGCCGGGGGACTGGGGGATTTCCCATACCACGGCAAAAGGGAAGGCAAAAGTGAGTGTGGAGGTGACAGCTAAAGGTCGCGGTTCAGTCTGTGAACTTACAGCTCTGGTAGGCAGTCACACAGCATGTACCCGGTTCCTTGGCAGTATTATTGGCAGAAAACCTAAGAACCAATTGTGAGAGTCTTTGGTGACTTCTTGTTTTCTGTTTCCCTTTTCTATACCGGTTTGCACACTGGCACAGGTAAGTGTGGGCTACTGGGGTTAACTTCAGTCACTGCCACGGACTGCTTGGCCTCAGATTGCTGTCACGGTGTTCTGTCCTGCCAGGATTTCAACACATGCATTTCTTCAAGTCTTGCTTCCTCTTGTCTTTAGATACTTTGGAATCTGTATTTTGAATGTTTTCTACTTTTCTGGAAACAGAATGACAGAAAATACTATTCTATGTACTCCTGCTGCAATCTTGGCACCAATATATTATGGGAATATATTGCATTTTCAATTCAATATCAATTTCAGTCTTATTCTCTCATGCTTTGAATAAAAATTTGATGCTGCTAAAATCCCATAAAGGTGGTACTTGAGCAGCCGGTTGCCACAGGAACTCGGAACTGGCAGTGAGAAACGCTGGGAGGAGTTTGAGAGAATTCTCAGTGCTAATGTAAAGTGATCATTTGGGGAAGTTGAATAAAAGTGGAAAAAAAAAAAAAATGAAGATCCAGGGAACTCACAGTAGATCACCAAAGGGCTGTGGCATCCCAGGTAGGACACTTGATGTTACTAATGCTGGCCAGTATGTCAGACCACAGCTGAAGCACAAACAGACCCACAGTTCACTATTCTGGATGTTTTTAATACAGGAATTCTTAATTACCAATGGAGCTGAGTACCTGCGAGTACAATGTTCACCAAAACTCGCTACTTCAGATTAAGACATAGTGAATACACACATAGCAGGTAAAATAGCTGGAAGTGACTCACTGGACTTTTACTGGGACTTCTGGAGGGTGCTGGAGAGCAGTGCTTACACATACCGAGTACAGGGGGTCTGCCTTCTGTCTTTGGTTTCAGTGCTGCAGGTACGTGAAGAATGAAGGCAGAGAGGTGAACCAATAAAGTGTTTGTAACACTACCTTAAACTGTAATTACTCCTGCCAAAATTGACTCTGTGCTGATGGATGTAAATTTTGCATTCAGACTTTCATGTCTTAGAGAAAACTGATTTCCTTGATGTGCTTTTGTTTCTGCTTCTCATATCAGAAGCGAGGGAGGAAGAAGTACGGACCCTGGACTGGAAATGTGGGTTCTGTTGATGCTCTGTCAGCAGCTGCCCAGCTGCGCACGCCTCTGCACTGTGTTCCTGTGTTGGAATCTGGTAACGGGTTAAGATGTCTCTTGGGTCTCTCTGAGCACCACGAAGCCGGCAGTACCCGCCGGAGTGCTGCAGAGGATGCTAGATGATGTGTGAGCTGATCACCGGGTCTTGGGAGAAACTGAGGCTGACACGTGTTGATGATGGGAACGCTCACTCATACCTGGAGATCTCAAATGCTGCTTTAAAATTGTTTTACTCAGGCATCTAGAGAATGCATAGTGCAACATTTTTTAACAGTAATTTGGGGATGGTTTGAAGAAGGAAGCCTCAAGACTTGACTTCACTACAACAATGACCTTGGTGAACTGTCTCAATTTAGGACTGAGAAAGGAGGGATCAGGAGAAACAGGGGCGTGTTCCTTGCAGAGGTACAGTTGTTTTTCAAAGGTTTGTGTAGCTGTAGATTTGCAGTAGGAACACGTAGAAATAGACTTGCACTTGCTATGCTACACTTTTAAAAAATGTATACTTGGTACATTTGCACATGTAAATTTAACAGTTACACTACCAAATGAGCCGGTAGATGCCAAGCAGTTGTATGTTTCAACATTCGATCTTTTTGACAAAAGTAAGCGGGGAACAATTATACCTGTCATTATGCCAGCACGGCAGAGACAATACCCATAAGGACAACAGTGTCTTGGATCAACTAGGATGGGGTTTGTGCTTCACACCCCAAAAATCTAATACTAGACAACCTAATGTTTATTAGAAATAAATTAGCGTTTTATAGAACAATCTTATTTTGCTAAATGAAGACATATAACGATGTATGGGTCAGAAGGAATACCGCTAGATAGCAAACCAGTAACGAGGTGGTAATAAAGATCTTGGGTAATCTATATGTGTATGGTATTAGAGTGACAAGAAGATAAAATAATTGTTAGAATTAATTCTTGTAGTTGGGTTGAATGTATTGAGTCCTAACTGTTGCAGATAGAAGCAAGTATGAAGGCAATTAAGGAGTGTAATAGGAGCAGAGAGACATCTTACCACATGCCAAGGAATGAAGGGGGGCATTTTGTGAAAATATCTTGGCTAAAATAAGACCCAATGCTTATTTATTTTTATTAGTGTTATTATTTTAACATTTCTGTTGTCGTTTGTTGCCAGGATGCCCAGACAGTGAGTGAACTGTAGCTCTGGGTTGTTAGGAGCTAGCTCGGTGGCATGTGGAGCGAGTGAGTTTCTCTTCCCTTTGTGCATTCACCTGCCATCCAGGACACTCGTGTTTGTTTCCCAGTTTTCAC